GACCCGCCCCGCCCCGCCCCGCTGGGGGCGCGTGGAGCTGTCCCCACGCCCTGGTGCTGAATCTCAGCCGCGCCCAGGGGCGACAGTCATGCGGGAGCCCCACCGCAGTTGTAGCGCGGGTCTTTTTAATCTCCTTTGGGGGAAGCAGATAAATAGCCGAGTGTTCCAATGCAAAGAGAGCCACCTCCTCGCAAAAACTTCACCCCCCACCCCCAAAAATATAATAAAATTGGGGGGGGAGCTAAAGTGTGGGGCTCCTGGGCCGTCCCCGCTACTGGGATGGGGCAAGGGACAGGGGAAAGGTCAGAGAGGCACACGGCCTGTGCTTGGGGGCCTTGTGACGGGGGCATTTGGGGCTGCTCTTGGAGCACTTGACTCCTGGCTTGTCTGCCCATTTAATACCTTAAAGCGGGGTGAAGTACTCTTTGGCTTGGTCTACATTAGACAGTGACTGTGCAGGAGTTTGGTACTACTGCACAGTGGCACAAAGCACGGCGTGAGACTACTGCACAGTGGTAACAAGCTGCTCCGCGTCACCTAAAAGCCGTTTGGTGATACTGCTGCACAGTTACTGCACAGTCCTTTAGTACTCATCCACACAAGTACTAAATGACTGTGCAGTTGTTACTGCACAGCTCCTATACAGCTGTATACACAGGTACCAAATAAATGACTGTGCAGTCTCTCTCATGTAGACACAGCCTTTGTGTAGCTCAAAGTGAGGCCACTCCAGGGCAGGATTATCTCTGATCTGCACTACCCAGCTCCTGGTCCATTTAGGTGTGGCCACTCCCCACAGATGTGTAGCCCAAATTGAAGTCCTCCGGTATCCCAGGATCTCTCACACCCCTGTCTCAAGAGCAGGGATAGAAGCCTGTCCTGACTCACTAGCCCTCTAGTTCAGTGGTCCCCAACCCATTGGTTGCAGTATACAGATCAATCATGGAGCTTATTGTGGTTGATCCTGAGCTGGGGGTGGGGGGGGATTGCTGGGCACACGTACATGTGGGCACACACCCCATGCCCCCAGCCCAGCAGATCAGTCTGTTGGGGAGGGAAGGGGCAGGGGCCAGATCAAGGCCCCCCAGTGAGGGACTGGTTCTGCAGCCCAGCCAGGAACAGTGGAAGGTAAGTGGGGCCCTAGCCTGACCAGGTGATGGGAGGATTGGAGCCTGGGGGACTCCCCCATTCTCCTACCATTGGGCGCACCCCTGCAGAGGCCCTGGGGGCACATGCCCCCCATCTCTGTGGGGGTGGAGGCAGCTGCCGCTGTGCCTCAAACCCTGCTACAGCTAGCCATGTGTGGGCACAGCTCAGTGGCGGCTGCAATATCTCGTGCCCCCCCCACCCCAATCTGTGCTCCGGGTGGAGGCAGCTGCTGCTGGGGCTGCCCACTGCGCCTGGAGCACAGGTGTGTGTGTGGGGGTGGTGCATGGGCCCCCGAGGCTTCCACTGGGAGGCTTCCCTCACATGCCCCCAGACCACGGAGAGTCCCAAACCAGGCTGAGCTGGGGCCTGATGTCACATGTGTCTGGCCTCCGCACAGGCGTGGCTCAGCACAGCAGCGGCACAGAAGTGGAGTCGGGCCCCAGCCCGGATGAGTCTGGGACTCTCCGTGGTCCAGGGGTGTGTGAGGAGCTCCCGCTGCTGTGTGCAGTCCAGTGGAGGCCTCAGGGGGCCATACCCCACAACCTATGCTTCAAGTGCAGTGTACAGTCCACAGCAGCAGCCACCTCTTCCCAGAGCACTCATTCCTGCCCCTGCCCCTGCCCCTGCCTCTGCTCCACTCCCTCCAGGCACCAGTGCCCCCTCCCCACCACCCAGTGTGCCCCTGCTGGGCAGAAGGCAGGTGGCACCAGTGCCCGGTAGATCCTGAGTTGGACTGTAATTCAAAAAGTGATCTCCAACGTAGAAAGCCCAGTGCTCTAGTTGCAACTCAGAGCTCCAGCTCCTAGCCTTGCCCCTGCTCACAAGGCCTCTGGTGGCAAGCTGTACAGGTGGGGGACAGTCAGAGAAGGTTTCCAGACTAAGGGTGTGACTGGTCCAAACTCAAGCTAGCACTAATACTGAACAACATGCATGCAGCTGACAGCATAAGGTGTAAAAAGGCCTTGAATGACTGGCCATAGTCAAAGTGGGGCAGGTCCTGGCCTGCTGGCAGCCACGGGGAGGCAGCAAGCAACAGGGAAGCAAGGGGAAGGAATGAGAAAGACACAGCCTGCACCTGAGCTGAAGTGTTGTGAGGGTCACATGGCCACCACGCCCCACTTGGCTTCCTTCCCCCTTTGCTCTAGGCCAGCTGTCTCCAACCTTTTAAAGTATGAGTTCACTTTTTTGATTAAAGTGCAATCCAGGATCTACTGTGTGCCCCCACCCCCTCTCCACCCAGCAGGTCAGTCTGTTGGGGAGGGAAGGGGCAGGGAGGGACAGGGGGTAGCACGCAGTAGATCCTGGGTTGCACTTTAAGTATAAAAGTAATCTCACTGCCCCCATGATGAGGGAGGGAGTGGGGCAGGGGCAGAGGCAGAGGCAGGGGCAGCGGTGAGTGGGGCCCCAGCTGGGCCAGGTAGTGGGAGGATTGGATCCCAGGCGGCTCATCCAGGCATGCAGGGGAGCTCTTGCTGCAATGCACACACCAGCAGAGGCCCAGGGGGCACATGCCCCCACAATCTGTGCATGGGGTGGAGGCAGCTGCCGCTGTGCTTTGTGCCCTGAGCCCCGCTGCAGCCCAATGCCACGTGCATCCCGCCGCTCCTGGGGCAGCTACATTAAGGCTCGGGGTGCAAAACGCAGTGCACAGTAGCAGCTGCTTCCACCCCATGCACAGATGGCGGGGCATATGCTCCCTAGGCCTCTGCCATGGTGTGCACAGTAGTAGGAGCCCCCTGCAGCCCTGCACAAGCCACCTGGGCTCTGATCCTCCCACCACCCAGCCCACCTAGGCCCAACTCACCTCAGCCCCCACTCCTGTCTGTGCCGCATTCCCTTCCTCACCACGGGGACCTCAATCTGGCCCCCGCCCCTTCCCTCCCCCACAGGCTGGGCAGCCCCCCAGCCTCAGATCGACTGCCAGAGGCTCCATGATCAACCACTGCTCTAGGCAGAGGCAAGGATGTCTAAAGGTGATGCCTAGGCTTGGAACCACTGGGTAGCAGAGGTAGACCAGCTTTGGAAGGCGACACTTTCACCAGCAGGCGTGAGCAGAAGAGCCAGGCCCAGGCAGCATGACTAAGGTCTTTCAGAGCATTTCACACTACCAGTGTGCAAACCAGAGTGGATCCCAAACATGCAAGGAGAGAGGAGGATGCACACTTTATCTTAAATTATCAGCTTAATAACGATTCCTTTTTCTATCCCAGTTCCTTCAAGAAAAAAAAATAGCCTGGGCTGGGTACCACCCCATGGGAAAATAATTTCCCTGGCCCAAATCTATGTCAGTTGTGTGACAATTAACTGAAGTGTTTCAGGGCGTTTTTAAGCCCTCCCTGAGGCATTGGGTCTTGGCTACCACCAAAGCTGGGGACTTTGACTGGAGTTTTCTAATGCTCCTTCTGGGACCAAAGCCAGAGGTTCCTGAATAGAGGGTCTTGACCTTCTGCTCAGGATCAGACCAATTGCCATATTTGGGGTCAGGAGGGAATATGACCTCATAGTCAAATTGGTACAGAGTATGGGGAGTTTTGCCTTCTTCTGTAATGGGCAGTGTGGCCCTCTACCTGGAATTTCTTGAACATATATTGACAACATTTCATAGAAGCAGGACATTAGCTGCCATGGTTCCCCTGCTTCACCTGTGGCAGATTAGGGTGTTTGGTCTGTGCTGTTTCAGGGTTGATGGTAGTCTTATGTAGCATTTAGATTATGGATTGTACTGGATGGTTTGGATTGGGCTGATTCTGCCTCAGGCAGCAGGTTGTACTACATGCCCTCTGGAGTTTCCTTCTAGCCCTACTTCTCTATGACTAATGCATTCTAAGCAAGGCATCAAAATCAGTGGTACAAACTCAGCTGCAACTAAAATCTAATGAGTATAAAAAGAATCCTATTGATAGCCCATAATATTGACCTGAATCCATTTCAACTGAAGCTAATAGGACTCTTGATGACTTCTGTAGGATTTGGTTCTAGGCCATGGTGACGCAAAAGAAACTCTTCATCATTTCACATCATGTGGATAAACATGATTAAGAATTTTGCAACATGTTAGATTTCTTTTTTCACCAGTCCAAAAATAACTGGGATTAAGACACTCTGAGCTAACAGGAACCAGCTCAGCCTTCCACAATATTTTTTATTTCACAGTAAGATGCCCATTGAAGAAGTAAATATGTAAGTGAATGTGGGTGGGCTTAACTCTGTGTACTAATACAGCAAAACACTTAAATTCATGCTTATTTTAAGCCCTGGAATACATTCATTAACTTTGGTGAAACTATTCATGTGCTTGAAGTTAAAGGTAGT